TATGTGTGTGTGTGTGTATGTATGTATGTGTATGTGCAACGATTTCGTTAACCTTTGTATATCCAGCATTCGACTGTTTGGTATTGACAGTAAGCTCAAGTAAGCTCGAAGGAGAAAATATAAACACTCTGTGGTCTGCGTCCTATTAGTGCCACTTAGTTTCAGAGGGAGAATTCCAAAGTAATCGATGTTTACGATGAACAAAATGAAGGAGGTAACTCGTATTGGAAATGTTATACGTAAATGATAAACCCAAGTACATTGGCTGATCACGACCCACTGCAAACTCCTATTGTAAAACCCTACACATACGCGTAGTGAGATGACATGCTCTTTCACATACATTACATACCTACCTGCTACAAAGTTCGTAAGTGTCATCTGCAAACGTGTGCCAGTAGCGTTGTATGCATACATCTAAGTAAGTGTAAGTGTTTGTCTGTTAACGATACTATTCTCTTACCTGGGCGGGAAGTACCAGGTGCAGGGGTAGACACTAAGCCCGGTGTATACCTATTACAGTACGTTACGCCAGATACACTCTCATGACTTCTACAAATCCTTACACATATAGTATCGCCACTTAGCTAAGGCAAACGTCTGTGCGGGAGTTATGCATATGAACACAGACAATACAATATACTGTACCTTTTATCGGTGATCGGAATAGCGTATTCGCCACCTTTTAGATCCAGCGGACTCAGAAGTAACGACTTTGGTTTCTCTGTGCATTGTATGATACAATTTGGGACAGTGAATAAGTGTGTGAGAGGTGAGAGGTATGCTCTACGTCCACTTAAATGAAAGTAAACAGACGATATACAAAACATACAAACGACATAAACACATGCAGAAACCGTTTGCATATTGGTTGTCAGTCTGCAATGATGGTCGCCAGAGTTGAAAGAAAACCCCACAATCCACATGTAGTTATATACAAACAGACGATATACTATACTTATCACACACATATATGTGGACAAACATAAAAATATGTGTATATATGTAAATGATCAGCTCAATTATGCATTGTAAATTTATATGCATATATGTTTACGAAAAAATATCTGTTCAGTATGGTTATACATTTTGTATATTTATACATAAATATATACAAATATATATATATACATATATATATATATATATATATATATATA